ATTAGACTTACTTTCAGACGCCATATAGCCCAGCCTAGCTGGCCAGGTTAGTGGATCACGCGATATTGGGTGGGGCTCATTTTTTTGCAAAGCTCAAAATGTGAATTTCTTCAATCAGTAATTGTTTACAGTGTTTAGATATTAATACTTTAAGTGCATGAAAACAAGACAAATCTTTATTATTGTTTGAAGGAATCTCACCCTGTCCTTCGCTGTCCCTCCCTCTCTCTATCATCATTACAAAAATGAAGAGAGAGAAAGAAACAAAATTAAAACTTGTAATCAACTAATAAAAAAAATAATAGGTATATGTTACAACATAAATATTACATGCACATAAATATTAATTTTATTTTGCCACACAGTCATATGAAGCAAGTAATATGCATCAAAGGTGAGCTATGCATTAAATGTCATTTTTTCCAGACAGTATTTCCAGCCACCATAGTTGCAGTTAGTGTGAGATCTTTGTCAAATAATAACAGATCAGCTCTGTTGTCTATAGCAATGGAACCAAGTCCTTTTAAACCAGCCACTCTGAGATATGAGAAGAGAGAGAAAGGAAAAAGAGAGTGATTGATAGATATATATCAGGGCCATAGGCAGGAATTTGAAACAGGGGGTTCGGAAATTGCTGTGCGCGAAGCGCGCAGCAAAAATTTACACAAAAATGAGCGTGGTCGGTAGGCGTGGTATTAACTTACGCATCTCAGCCATGTGCTGACTCAGTTAAAATGGCTATCTGTGCTTCTTGCTGCTGCCAAAATGCTAATCCTGCTTTTGCAGTGCTGTTCTTCATGACAGGAGCTAATCTAAAACTTTTTTGCAGCTACAACAGGGGGTTCGTCCGAACCCCCCCTGGCTACGGGCCTGTATATGTACACTAGTATGTATCTCCAATATTATTAATCAAAATAATAAAGTAGGTAGCTCAGCACTGGGATGCATGTCATAATATTGCCAATGTAACAAACTCCATGGTGTTTCATAAAAGACAACATAGACATCAGTTTTTCGTGAATGATTCAGTTTAACTAATCAAAAGTAAGATGTACATACTTGTACATGTACAAAATAGTAGTACAACAGGGTTCTGCCTAGAAAAAAATTAGTGGTGGTTGGAGGCTAATATTGTTCCTTTTAAATTTATGTACACTATACTAGTGACTACAATATCATGTAATAGCTAATGGATGGGGTAACATGTGCTATGGCCATAACTTGAAAAATTTTAGTTGGAATCAGCTCAAGCTTTCTACACAGCATAAGTATGTCAATATGTATGAAAAATATAATAAAAATTGGGGATGATTCCGAAGCCATTTTTTGGAAAAAACTATGGGCTATATAAATAAGCCATTGCTTTTTCCAAAATCTGCTGCTTTTAAAAAATGGCTATAACTCAAAAAAATTCAAGTCGAAATGAAAAGAAGTTTTCTACATAGTATAAGTACATCAATATGCATCAAAAAATGTAATATAAATTGGAGATGATTCGGAGTCATTTTTTTGGATAAAACCATGGAAAAATGGACTTAGTAAAAAGGTTATTTGCTTGATACAATGTATATGCAATATAATTACACTTACTTTGCTGGGTTTTCTGCTAGCATTCTTACAGCTTGAGGAATTGGTACGTTTAATGTATTCACTAAATTATGAAATATATCCAACATGGATACACAACTACCAGCCAGTGTATTAGTCCCTTTAAGTAACATTGTCTTACAATCACTGGACACTATCACTGAATGGAGAAATAAATTTAAAATAATAAAAAATAATTTGAGAGCTTAGGTTTAAATTTGGCAAATATTTATAGCAAGAGCCCATTTCGCCAATAAATCCCGTGACTGTGATCACTTGATTTCATAAATTCAGTTAATTAATCAGCATGCATGATCACTGTCACATGGCTGATCATACAGAGCTAGAGAGAGAAAAATGAAATAATAAAAAAGAAAGAGTGAATGAGGATAATTTTTATATTTTAATGTAGCTTTTAAAATTACATACATATTTACTAATGTTAGTACTGTTACTAACGACCTCTCCTAGCTTCCTCCAATACTGAGTATAGGCGTTGATTGAAAGAAGGAAATAGAGATATTCTCATTTAGCTAGTCCAGACTTTTTCACACTTTTGACAAGTCATTACAATTAATACAAACATTAAGAAGAAAAAAAAACAAAATATACTAAAATACTTTAAAGTCACTTTTAATTACAGGTACTATTAATTGCTAACTTTGCTATAGGAATAAAAATCAAATATAATAATAATAAGTGTGGGCATTATTATTTATATTGTTCATATTTATTAATCATATCATCATACAGTTTGTTAGCTAGTATGGTATCTTCGTCTTTGAGTATTTCTAAAATATACTCAAAAACCTTTCCCTCTCGTTGCACGGAGACTTTAACAATGTCAAATAGTTGATTCATTCTCTGGTCAGTGGTACGTCCACTGTGTTCATCAATGGCTTTCTTCTTTTGTCTATCATTTATTATCTTCTTCTCTAATAACTTCTCTGTTAAGAAGTGAAGATCAATCCCACAGTCTTTGAGCTCTGAAATACATTCTGAAATCACTCTATAAGCAACTTTAGGTATAACTGGTGTGGCTATAAAATAAATATAAAATACATGTACATGCATGTAGTTACTTTACCATCAATGTTCTTCCATTCATGTGTGGAACTTTTTGAAGTCACCTCATCTTTATTAATAACCCAGTGATCATCAGTAAGTGCTTGTTGCTGGTACCTATGAACTGCCTCTTGAGACTGAGGTAGCTCCCCATCCTTCTCCTGTAGCTCCCTATCCTCCTGTAGCTCCCTATCCTCCTGTAGCTCCCTATCCTTCTCCTGTAGCTCCATATCCTTCTCCTGTGGCTCCCTATCCTTCTCCTGTAGCTCCCTATCCTTCTCCTGTAGCTCCCTATCCTTCTCCTGTAACTCCCTATCCTTCTCCTGTAACTGCCTATCTTTCTCCTGTAGCTCTCTATCATTCTCAAGTATCACAATATCCTTCTGTCGTAATGTCTCTTCTTTCTCCTGTAGCTCCCTATCCTTCTCCTGCAACTGCCTATCTTTCTCCTGTAGCTCCCTATTATTCTCAAGTATCACAATATCCTTCTGTTGTAATGTCTCTTCTTTCTCCTGTAGCTCCCTATCCTTCTCCTGCAGTACCACCTGATGCTCCCTATCCTTCTTCTGCAGTATCACCTGATGCTCCCTATCCTTCTTCTGCAGTACCACCTGATGCTCCCTATCCTTCTCTTGTAGCTGATGACGATATCTACTTATTTCTTGCTCTTTCTCTGCTTCTTCTCTTTCCTTCTGCATCAATTTTTGATGATAAACTTGTGCTTCTTTCTCTTTTTCCTTCTCCTTCTCTTCAAGACTCTTCATAAGAGCTTGTACAGTTTGCTTAATATCGACGGTATCTCCTTTTCTTGGTTTCTGGTACTCCTCCAACCATATTCTTCTTCCTGCCTGCAATTGCTGCTGATACTTCTTCTTGTATTCTTCATTATTCATACCATTGGTATCTAATGTATCACCTACTTTCCACTCTCCTTTACTGTTAGTAACTAAAATACATGTATAATAATTTAAATTAGAAGGTGTCGATCTAATGCAACATTAAGTACGTCAACAGAAATAATAATTAGGTAATTAATAGTATTCATTGGTGGGTGTAGCTAATACACTGACCTAGTTCAGTTATCATAACAATGTTAGGATTAGTGACTAATGTCAATCTCTTATCAATAGCTCCTCCAGTAGTTATTATCCAGACACAATGAAGACTCATAATGAACACTGAGAGAGAATGAGACCATCTCTCACTAACAGAGTGAGGTACAGCTAACTGTTAATAGAAATAAATTAATAATTTACAAGTACATGTATCTCACTATACAGATCAATTATTAATAATATCTAACACGCCTTAATCCAGGAATGTTGAGTGATGTTAAAGATCCAACAGTCATCTAATGTCTCTTCATTCTTATCCCACCCACCACTTATCACTAGCATAGGACAGCCTGATCCAGTTATAATAATAGCACCAGCATGACCCCATCTACCCACAGGCCACTGGTATATTGCTTCAGGTTTTTTTATACACTGCCAGGACTAAAAATAAAATAACGACACCCATTAACAATGACATGTGTGCGTGTGTGTGTGTGCATACATTCAGTACACATAATTTAACATACCACAGTGCTGATTGATATCTCTAATATATAAATATTGTTCATAGCAGTACTCTTAGCATCATCATCAGTCTCTACTCCACCAAACAGAATAGCTCTAGTGTTGTTGATCTTTTCAATGATAAAGTGACTAGCAGGTGGCATACACTGACCAATAATTGAAGGATTATTCCATTTTCCTAAAATAATAATTATTATTAACAAACAGTAATTTAAAATCTTACTTGATGATAAATTATACATTGAGTGCTCATTAGTACGCCAGTTTCCATTAGGTAACTCAATATATTTATAATGACGTAGTTGTATAGCTGGTTTAGATCCAAATCCTCCTATCATTAGTAAATGGTGTACTCCATCATGTTCAAATGATATCATTCCACCAGCACATCTCCTCATAACTCGTCTAGTTGCATCAGTTGGTTCTAATTCTCTCCATTGAAGACTAACGGTATCCAGTTGTGTAATACTGTTGTGATAGCATTTGTCATGACCGCACAGTCCCCCGAAATAATACAATTGATCATTTATTGCAGTACAGTAGTAGCCCCTGACTCCTAATGGAGGAGTACCAGTAGTACCTCTAGTGATCCATTGACCAGTTGAAGGAGTAAAGTGCTGTATATTACTAGTGATCCTTCTCTTCTCTTCACTATCATGTACTCCAGGTAAACCATCCTGATTACCAGCCCACACATACAGTGAATCACCTACTGATACAGTGCGGTGAGCAGCTCTTCCATTCAGTTGATCTATGTATCAATGATTGACAGTACATGATACTGGAAAAGTAACATTAGGACTTACTTTTAGATGCCATAGCCACTGCTAGTCTGGCTCGCGAGACTACGCTAGTGCTAGGCACAGCAGCCTAGGCTCCCCCGCCTCACTGGATCACGTGATACAGAAAAAT